AAGCGACATCTGCGAGACCTATGGATTGCAGAAGATATCAGCGACGCTGAAGGCGGTGACCAAGTACCAGCGAAGGTCAAGCGTATCACGCTCATTAACCGAGCCATGAAGGCATGGGATATGGTCACCCCTGAGGAGGTTCGAGGTAGCTTCTTCGAGGCGATTCCGAAGTCGTAGTGCATGGGCCAAGTGCGGCTGTGCCGCACCAATGAATTGTTTTTTGCCTCTATCGCATTTCTAAACTATCTCCATTTCTTAAACGATAGCTCTTGGTTAGACGGTCATTTTGGCACCAATTTGACGTTCATAGCTATAAAATGAGTGAGCTATCGATGAAAAACGTTCTGGACTATGTATACACGCTTCCAGGTACAGTATATTTCTTTCCAGAGTAGTACTGAACATGAGGATATTAACAAAACGGTTGGATGACATGAATCATATTTAACTCGTACCAGTCATTGTTGAACGATCGCATGATGGTTTAGAATCGAAAGATTATTATGCTTGTGGACAATGCTCCACCCCATAAACCTGACGACGGCACGGTGTTGTCTAAAGATGTGGTCAAAATGTTGCTACCAAACACTAAAGAATACCTGCAACTACAAGACGCCGGTATCATCGTGTAATTTGAGGCTAAGATCAAGCAGCGACATCTACAAAATGCTCTGGATCTAATTGACTTGGTCATGTCGGGACGGCAAGACAAGTTGTGTCAACGATCACCGTGACGAACTCTTGGAAACGTACTGGTATACTGGACAGTGACCTCACTGCCTTGAGTGGGTGAGTGGCTAGAGTGGAAGTTTACTAGCTTGATCATAATTGATTGGTTTGTACGTATGTGTTTCTCCAAGAATTGATATTTCATTCACCTGTGTAATTTTATGCACTTTGCAAATTACTACATGTTTTTCACCGTTTCGAAGTGGGTTAATTGAGTTTGGATTATCATTTTTAAGACATTCCTCCGCGAGGGCCGACACTAGAACCACATGTTAAACAATGAATTTAACCCTGGAATTGCCAAAAAAGGTGCAAAGCACAATACTAGTTTTAGTACTATAGTAATACAGAACTAAACTATGTCGCCACATACAAAATCCAAGCCATTGCACCGCCTTCCTTAAATTAATTTCCATTCGGACAGTGGACACTTCATTACTTGGTACAGTATATTTCTTTCCAGAGTAGTACTGAACATGAGGATATTAACAAAACGGTTGGATGACATGAATCATATTTAACTCGTACCAGTCATTGTTGAACGATCGCATGATGGTTTAGAATCGAAAGATTATTATGCTTGTGGACAATGCTCCACCCCATAAACCTGACGACGGCA